AACGAATTTCCAGGTCATTAAGTTTTTATATGAAATTTTTTGCGTGCCTAAGTTTCCATTAAATGTAATTACTTTCTTATTGTGAAACCAACATATAAAATTTTCTGGCAATTTGTGAGATGCCAAACTTTTGATTTAACGAAGAAGCTCTTTCTGAAGTATTTCAAAGAATTAACACACGAAGAATAGTTTTTGGGGAGATGCGATTGTGTGTTTATATACGTGTGTTTATTTATATGTGTTAGGGGAGGGGAAGGGGAAGGCGTGCTATTCAAGTCGTGTCTGGAATCTCGAAATATACTTAGTTAGCCCACTTCTTTAATATCCTCTATGTTAAGGAAATATGCTGCCTCCTGAGCGAAAGAATAGAAGAACAAAAAAATGTGTATAAAGGCTATTTAGTTCAGCAATCAGAGGTGGCTGAGGCCGTAACAGAAATTATGCACAAGTTAGGATAGAAGTTGTCTGACCTTGTTTTCTCAACTTTGTCTTATTTTCAGGAGGACCTAGATGGAGGCACCTTTTCGGGAGTCCATGGTATGCATGATAATTTCCAGTCGGACCGTGGATTTGGTACATTTTTAGACGTTTCTCCGGCATTGTCAGTGGTTTTTGCCAGTCTTAGCATCACACTACAACTCGTCTCTTTGCCGAGTGTGTGTGTTTGTCCTGACAATTCCATCGAATTTAATTTGGCCTTCCGAAAATGTTTTCTTATTCTTGATATACTGCAGTTTTGACCTCAGCTGAGTATCATCAGTACCTCCAACAAGGTTCGGAACAGGGTTGTGATTGTGAAGTGACTACTCGTTGCCTCTCCTCCTCTCGGCCACTAGTAACAGTGATTATATGGCAAGCGTAATTTTCAAGTTATGCGTGATATTGTAGAGATCTGACTTGCTTTGAAAGTCACACCTCTGTCGCTGTGTTGCGTTATACAAACGTGTTCCACTTTACACGCACTACCTGATTTCTAATCCTGCTAAGGATTTTGGGAGGTGTGTCCCAGATGAGGTATAAACTACTGTTGACCCTGGCTGAGAAAGGCTGAGAAAATGCTAAGTGAAATCCATTGGTATCGTATCAATGCAGTAAAATTCAAATATCATTTTTCATTAACCTATACGACCTAAGCTGAATACAGCTTTTATGACACTTGGATTCAGTCTTTCCTGACAAACAATCATCCTTTCCTTTTCTTTTTTATCCTCTTCGACCTCTTCACTTCATTATCCCTGCTGGCTGGACTAATGAACCTCAAAGTGACTTTTCTGGTATAAATTGAAGCTGAAAATGTCTTCTCATATTAGATTCACAAATGAAGTTGATCCTTTGACCAATTGTGTGCTAAACAGTTGTGGTATCTCTCCAAATCTGGGCTATTAATCTATCCTAACTCCTCGTATCACCCATTCAATATCACAATTTCTTACTTATTTATCTAAACCTATTTGAAACCTATTCACACTCCCCTATGGTTTTCACATCCCTCCCATTGTGCCGGGAGTGTTGATCCAAGACTGCGGTTTAATCCGCAATCCTCTCTCTTTGGGTCCTATCAGAGTCCCCTCTCGCTCATTAATCCTTCCCTTATCTGTCTGTGTCAGTGATTTCACTCCATCGCTGCTACTGTATCCGTGCTACTTTTAAGGCGTTGTTCTACACTCTGCCTCAAGCTTTTGATAGCTCGTATACATCAGCCTCACTAAGCAAGCCCCTACAGTCTTGATTTTCAAATGGCATGGCAACCTAACCTGACGCTGAAGATTCTCTTATCGCTATTCTGCATGTGCATCGAGTGAATCTCGAGGCCAAGCCTTTAATTCATTGACTACGTCTATGGGGAAACTTATTTACCAATAGCCAACTAGAAATGACCGCCACCGTTTCTCCCACTCTTATATCTCTAATGCCAAGTCTATGATTTTATATTGTGTGCCGACCTCCAAATGTGATAGTTCTACTTTATTTAAATAGGCTAATTGTAGACGTATT